AAGGAAATGACATTTCCTTACAGTAAGGAAGTCCTGACTTTTTCTTCAGGAAATTTTGACAGGAATGTCAAAATTTCCTGGCGATTTGCGGAAAAAAATGTTAATTAATTTTTGAGAGACTAATCGTTTTCCCTCTCCATGCTCAACAAAAAATGAAATCTGTCCTGTATTTTTTTATTTTCATTTAAAATGAATTTATAACTTTTTATTTAACTTTAATTGACCATATCCGAGTATTTTATTTTGATCTTTTTTGTGTGTTATTCAAACTAATTGAGACGTTTTACCTAGACCGTTTGACATTTTAACAAAACCATTTCTTAACCGAATCTAATTTGATCCATGCAGTAATTGTAACTCAGTAACCGTAAGATAGCGGCTGCAATCTGAAGAGAAGGTAAAAAGCAAGTGAAAGGAGGTTATCTACAAACAAATAATATCAGGTGAAAGTCCGGAAAAATTAACTTTGTTATAATTATTACAGCTTACTGACATAATAAAATAATTACTAAATAATAGGTACGTTGGCTAGGCGGGTTACACGCGCGAATTACTTGTTCTATTGCTGGATGGGAAATAAATACAGTCAGTAGACATGCATTGCGGGAGAACAACTTAATTTTGAAGAAGACAGTGGCGTATCTACCAAAACTTTTCTGAATCCATGTCGGGGAAGTTGTCTACTCAAAAGACAGGCTTTTGACTATAGTGACAATTTTGACAAATGAACAAATGTTGGTCTTTATTTATTTAAAGGTAAAGGTAATTACGTAAAATCAGATTTATTAGACCTCATATATTTTCTCTGCTTTCAGTTCTCTATCACAGGTTGTTTTGTGGTTAAATTCGATTTTAATTGTTTTTTTTTTGTTTTCTACGTTCTGCTTCAATTTAGAATGTAAGTAATATGTTTAAATTCTTTCCTTTGCGTGTTTTTATTACATAAATTAATAAATCTTAATACAAAATAACAATAACATCTTCTTCTTCTCATGGCGCCATCTCCTTTCGAAGGTTGGCGATCCAAATGGCAATTGTAGTTTTGGAAACTGCTACGCGAAAGATTTCTGCGGATGAGCGGTCGAACCATCTCGTCGGGTCTTTCAGCCACGAGTTCTGACGTCTTCCTACTGATCTTTTGCCCTGCACTTCCAATATGATTTGGAGTAATTCATATCTTTCGCCTCTCAACACTCTCTCTCTTCAATCCTGACCCCCCAGGGGGAGTGTAGTGGTCGACGTGATGTCGTGTATTGTCCGTTTCCAGAGATCTCTGTCTCTGGTCATTTCTTTTAATTCATGCATAGGTCTTTGGCATATTCCTGTAATTTGATCTATCCATCTTGTTGGGGATCTTCCTCGTGATCTTCGGCCTTCTACCTTTCCTTGTATTATGAGTCTTTTCATGTTTTCTGTGTTTGCTCTCATAACATGCCCAAAATATTTTAATTGTTGGAGATGGACTTTACTAGAGAGTCGTTGGCTAACTTTTAGCTCTCTTAAAATTGAATTATTTGTTCTACGGTCGGCCCAAGGAATTCGTAACATTCGTCTCCAACAGAACATTTCAGTGGCGTCTATCTTTCTTCTCTCCGATTGTCTCAGAGTCCAAGATTCACATCCCTAGGTCACCATTGGGAATATTCCGAAGTTGAACAACCTCATCTTTATCGCTCTTGAAATTTGACAGTCCTTCCATATTTTGGTCATTTTTGCTGTAGCAACTTTTGCTAGATCACATCTACGTTTAATCTCTTCTTGTAATAACCCTGTGTTTGTGATTAATGATCCCAGATATAAGTATGAGCTCACAACCTCGAACCGGTCAATTGTGGTTATGTGTGGATGATTGTTGTGTAGTCTATCCACTATCATGATCTTTGTCTTTGATATGTTTAATTGCAGACCAAATATTTGACTTTCGTTTTCGATCAGTTGTATAAGTTCTATTAGCTCTGCTTGACTATTTGCAAGAAGGGCTGTGTCATCTGCGAAACGTAGGTTGTTTAGTTTATGACCATTTATTGAGATTCCCTTTTCCCATCCTTCAAGTGCTCTTCGCATAATATGCTCCCCATATATGTTGAATAATTGTGGAGATAGTATACATCCTTGTCTGACACCCCGTTCTGGATGAAATTCGTTCGAAAGTGTGTCAAGTACTTTAACTGATCCAGTAATGTGTTCATATAGTTCGGTTATAAGCGTAATTAGATGTTGTGGTACGCCTACTTCTTTTAGTATTCGCCCTAAGTGTCTCCACTTGACCCTGTCGAACGCTTTACGGTAATCTATAAAACAGATGTATAGTGGGATGTTGAATTCCCTAGATTTCTCGATTATCTGTCTTATATTCAGCAGGTGTTCTCTAGTGCCTCTACCTTTGGTAAATCCAGTTTGCTCTTGTGGAATTTCTCTTTGAAGGAATGTTTTCAGTCTCTCATTGATTATATGTAGCATTGTCTTGCTGGCATGGGATATAAGAGAGATAGTTCTATAATTGTCGCATTTATGGAAGCTGCCTTTTTTATGTATGATCGTTATTGTAGATTTTGTCCAGTCTTCAGGCCATTGTTTGGAATGCCATATTTGGTTATAGAGTAGATGAAGTAACTTTACGCCGGTTTCTTCTGTGGCTTTAAGCATTTCTGCTGTTATCATATCTGGACCTGGTGCTTTGTTATATTTGAGCTTGTTGATAGCCTGTCTTATTTCATTTTCGAGTATATCAGGTTCTTCTTCCACCTCGTCAGAGATTTGGCTAACAAGCTCTTGGCGTTGATCATCTTTATATAGGTCCCTGCAATACGATCTCCATGTCTCTGCTATGTCTTCTCTGTTTGTTCTCAGGGTTTCAGTGTTATCTTCAATGGCCCAAGTTCTGGCTCTGAAGTCTCTTGTCAGGTAACGTATTTTTCTAAATAGATCTCTCGGCTGATTATTCTGACCATGTCTCTCAATTTCTTTGCATATACTTTGATAGTACTGTTTTTTGTCGGCCTTACATCTTCGTTTTATTTCTTTATTGAGGTTTCTTAAACTAGCTTTTTCCCTTTCACTATGTACACCACTTTTACAAAGATTTCTTCTATTCTCAATTATTTTAAGAGTTTCATCTGTTATCCAGTGTTTCCGTTTCACCGGATTATTTTTCTTTGAGCGATCCACTGTTATATTGCATTTTCCTCTCTATTCTTGATAGGATTTCTTTTTTTAGATTATACTGACTATTGATATTTTACTCCCAAATATTTTATGGAATTTACCTATTCTATTATTTGACCCTTGGCATACACATGTACGTTTATTGGTGTCTTTGAAAATACTAAAGTTTTAGTTTTGGAAATGTTTAGATGTAAACCGAACATTTCGCTGTGGTGAACTACCACATTTATTATATTTTGTAGTTCTTGTGCGTTGCTTGCTATTAAGACGGTATCATCAGCTTATCTGATGTTGATTTAAAGCAAAACGAACCTCTCGTGTTCCCAATCCGTTTCGAAATCCGAATTTTGTGTCACTCATCTGGAACTCGCACTTCTTGTAAATTCGTGTATGGATGGTTTTAAGGACATGAGACATCAAGCTTAATATTCAATAATCATCGCATTGTGAGGAATTCTTTTTTTTTTTTTTTTTTGGTAATGTTACGAAGGTTGATTTTAGCCAGTCTGTTGGTATTTTACCTGTGTCATATATCTTATTGAATAGTGCTGTTATTAAGTCTAGGCTTTTACATTCGTTATCTGCAATCAGTTTTAGTATTTCGACATTGATATTGTCTGGACCAGTGGCTTTCCCATCTTTCGTATAAAAGAATTAAATTACGCCAATAAAAGCAAACGTCAGTGAAAATGTCAGTGACTAAAGGTTTTTTCAACAATCTTTACCCCTCCCGTTGGAAAGAGCCAGTAAGAGCGACCTTGTCATTTTACCTTCATACCCGTCTTTTCTTGTGCCAATAAAAAAAAATCGTAAATACTGAATTTTTAAATGATGAGCAGTAATCTGAAATCGATTCCATTGCTCCTCGAATCTTTGCAGCTACAGTATCGTGTCATGTTGTTTTTTGTCAGTTTTCTCCAAAATAAATTCTCTTTCAATATGTTGCAATTTTGAAAAAAAAAAATTTCTGAACTGTTGTTCTTAAGATTTTAACATCATGTCTTAAGTAATTTATCTTCAAAATTGTCTTAATTTTCATCTCTCGCTAGAGATGAAAAGATAAAAAGAACGGTTGAATATTTTCAACCTTACAGCCACTTCCTTCCACTGGATGAATTAGTACCTAAACCTACGTTTTCATACATAAAAAGTTGTGTTACATATCTGGTTATAATATGAAATTCATTATAGAAATTGGATTGGTTAGTGAACTTGTTAAAAATGGATTTACTTTATAATCAGAATCTTCGTGTAAGAACCCATTACTATTATGTCTATTTAAACTTATCAAGAATACAGAATATTATTTATTCTTACCTGGTAGGTACTTAGAAAAACATATCCAAGAAGAATCACGAAATTGTCAGAATTTAAAATCAATATTCCATATACTATATAGAAGATTTATTAAAAGTTTTGAAAATTTTCTACTACACTCTGGATATTGTGTATATTTACTCTCAGTCTTTTTTTATATATAATTGAATGTATTTTATAGTTATTAAAAGAATCTGACAACCTGGGCACTATGTGCATATTTTTTATTTTGGAATCCGATACTACGATTATTGAAACAATAGCACCAGTATCTCTTGAAAAAGGTTAATTAATCCATTTTTTTAGTTATCAAGATTATGAGAATATTGAATCCCTAAATATGCTATAATAATGGTGTAAGAACTAAATTGGACCATTGTAAACTATCATGGCGTAGGATTCTGGTTATCTAGACTAAGAAAACTCTTCTTATTTATGGTCGATTTTATAATTTTTTTTTAATATTATTTATTGTCTCCTTTAAATAAAGCCCTTAACGTTATGTTGTTTTGTTTCAGATGCACAGTACAAATTTCAATACAGACGGAGGCAGTACGAAAGGAGAAGTTCTGGTGTCGGTGGCGACGTTGGTGACGGAGGGGCGGATCCCGGGCAGTATCAACTCCAAATCCAAGAAGTTTTATGAAGGACCCCACTGTACCTTGGTGAAGGGAGCTAATAAGGGACATACTTGTGGTTTGGCTGACTCACTGGTAAGTAGTACACTGCAGAAGTAGTATACCTGAGCTTTTTCTTTGAGTACCGTGCCCAAATTGGGCAGAAATTTTACCATCTTCACTACAAAGTTCATCAGCGGATGGATGACTAGGGTAGTTGTCCAGCAGCAACACTGCCTCCTGAGGGAGGTTCACATGTGCGAGATGACGACGAACATCAGGGACGAATACATTTTTGAATCAATCCAAGAACAAATCTCTTGTCACCCATGCACGTTTTTGTCATCGATACCATACAGGAAGATCAACAGATTTGAATACAATAGGCTTGTTAGCCGTCCCCACAACAAGCAAACAAAGTTTGTGAGTCCCTAAAGCATTTGCACAAAGCATAAAGGTGATTCTTTCTTTTATAATTTTTCGACCAAAAGATGAGATGATTTTCTTGAGATGACATAAATGTGTGGTCTAAAATAACCCACTTTCAACTGCATTGTAAATTTTTTTCAGGTGTCAAATTGTTTTTAATTACAAGTTCTTCCAATTCAGTTCGGAAGGGTTCGATGTCGTCGGCATTACTCGAAAGTTTCTCATCAGTAATTTTGAGATGTCTAGTCCATGACGTCGTTTGAAATTGTCCAACCAACCGTTACATGCGCTAAAAGCTTGGTGATTTGGTGACATTTCACGATAGAAATGACGGGCTTTTTTCACTCAATATTTCACCACTCTCCCAAACATGCTTTCTCCGCTGTTGTAGGAACCACATGAACAACGCACTTTTTAGCTTTGGATATTCCGAGGGTTTGATAGTTTTCCTCTTCCTTGGGCTGCTTTTCGTTTCGCTGACGAACTTTTCGATCTTTCCTTTGTTCTTAATGTCCGTAATGGTAGATTTGCAAATGCCGAACTGTTTTGAAATGAAACTGTAGCTAGTTCCTTGCTGTATCAACTTAAGAATTTTGGTCTTTTGTTCGATAGTCAAAGTCACGTGTTTACTTGGAGCTATCGTGATACTAAACCACTAAGAGAACTAAATAATATATAAGTGGACAAGGAAAGTAAAAACCGATGTTCGTCGTGTTGATTCATTTCGATTCAATTGTGGGGGAGTCAGGGGAGACTAACGATGCGGTAGTCCGGACTATATGATATGTCTTTGATAAAATGTTTTTTAATCAATATTATTTCTTGAAAAAGACATGGATTTCCTGCCGAAACGTAGAAAACAGTGAATAAAAATGTCTTAGTATCATGACAATTTTTTTTTATGAACCCAAGCCCAAGAAAATCTACTAAAAGCTTACCTACATTACTTTTTATATATCTCTAGCACCCGCTGCATATTTTAGTCCAAGGTTATATTATTTATTATTCCTTTCTTGCTAATTTGTGTTAGGGAGTATCAACATCTCAAGAAACCGTTGAACTCTTCTCGATAAACACAACGCTAGAAATTATAAAAATTGTAAATAAAAAACGATAACAAATTACAGATTTACAGTAGGTTAACATTGACAATTTACGCAAACCAAAGTCTAGTCTGAAAATAGAACATAACATGTATATGTGCTTGTTAAAATATACAGAATATAGTCACCATTTTTCCAGAATCTAATATTTAAAACTGTTCTGTTGTTTTGAAAATTAGTTTTTCTGAAAATTACTTCTTCTATCGGATGTTGGAATAGCTATAGTAAGTTTGACAACTACTACTCTGAATAGCTGTAGTGAGTTAACGTCGAACCATTCTCTAAGATTCATCAGCCAGTGAAACACCTTTATGTTGGTTTTCTGATTCCAATACAGCTGTACGGTAATTAATGTATTTCAACTGTACATATTTTTGTTGAATTAGATACCAAATGCAGGACAATTATTCCATATTGCAGAAGATTTAGAAGCCTTCGCATTGGTGATCGCCAACGTCGGATAAATCTGATATGGCACGCGAAGAAGAAGAAGATATTTTTGTTCTTTAGTATTTTCATTAGTTGCTCATCGTGTATTCGATCGAGTGCCTTTTCGAAATAAACGAAACAGCAGCAATATCCTGATTTATACCTGAGGATCTCTGAAAGAGCATGCAGAAAAAATACATCTTAGTCAGTAAATGCAATATAACATTTTTGCTATCAATTGATCTTCTTAGAGTGCCTTATTTATTTACTGAATGTTGGCGACAATTCTGGCATATTTGTCTCGATGTTTGCGGCACTTAAAAGTCACTCTTTTTCCTTCAATCGTTACCTCCATAACCAGCTTTCAAAATTTGGAGTTGGAATTCCTAAATATGTACTTTCCTTCTCTTCGCTTCGGCGTTGGTTATATGATCCGTCCAGGAAATGTTAAGGATTCTCCTGAACACTGAGTAATTATAATATTTTACAAAACTGTATGGTACCGTTGCATTAAGACTCTTGTTGCTTAGCATAATATTCAGATTCAAAAAGTAGCTCTAATCTATTCAATTCTGCTACGTATCTCTGTGTCTGAGTCAAGGTTCTCAGTTATCCAGCTTCTAGGCTGTTGATTATGTATTTTACAAAAAAAAATTAACGTTATAGTTTATCTCTAAAGAACATAATCAATAGCCTATTCCTAAATATCTGAATTTATAATTGGATATCTCGGAATATCAGTTGATATTCACTATTAAATGGCTTAAGAATATTAAGCCAACCTTTATGTATAAACATATGTTTTATTTAGCATATTATTGATTATATAATACTATATCAATACGCTTATATACAAATATATGTGAGATGTCTCGCAAAATGTCATATTTATACATTTTATGACCTCTGGGTTATCTTTAGTATGAATAGTCTAAACCGTTGCCATTTAAAACCCGCCAATATTTTTGTTGATCCAAATTTGACCCACAAAGAGATCACTATTGATCATTTCGCTTATGGTGGCTATATTGTCATAATTATTCACCATTGAAGTAAAAGAAATACTAAAATAACTAGATACAGTTGACAAAAAGATCTTTAATTAAAAAATTGTATTTTAAAGACTGTATAAAGACTAATAATTCTAAAAGTATTGATTTAATTCACTGAAAAAAATGTATAAGACAAAAGTTGCTTTAAATTGATTATTGTAGAATGGGATGACTTTGATTCTATGAGGTGACTTTGATATAACATGAATATTTTGTTTCAAGAAAGTATGCCACCCAAATGTTTCATCCGTTATGGTGGTTGCCTGAACTTAATTTCAGTGCACATGTTGATTATCTGTAGCGGAAGGCGTTTGTGATGGACATCAAAGGTTCAATCCTATAAATGCACTGTTGAAGTTTTTGTTTTAATTTGAAGATTTTAGTATTTGTGTAACTAAATTTCACATGGCGGTGTAACCGCCACATCAATAATGATGTGCGGTGTTGCTGATGGCACACTACTCCCTCCTTATATAATATATCGCAGCGAACATACGTGGGATGCCTGGACGGACATTAGGGTTCCACAGGGCTCTCCTTGTTGTAGTAGTGGATGTTGCGCAAGAGGAGCTAGATATAATCAAACAAAAAATGGGTGGATGGAGGTAACTTGTTTTACAGACTGGTTTGAGACCATATTATTACCACACGCAGGACGGCTGGAAGGTAAAAAAGTTATGATCGGTGACAACTTGGCGACTCACTTTTCAGTTCATTTATTACAATTGTATGAATTGCACAATATTGAATTTTCGTGCCTTCCCAGTAATTCAACACACATGTACCAGCCTTTGGATGTATCTTTTTTTAAACCCATGACAGTTTCTTGGCGAATGATTTTGACGGAATTTAAATTGCGACACCCAAAGATTACTGGTGTGCTTAAAGATTAGGGTAGGGTGTTACCCTACCCTGTAACAAACTTGAATATTTATTTCTCACCAAAAACTTAAGGTGATTGATGTGGCTTATATATCTAAACAAAAAAGCTTGACATATTTTTGCGTTTATTTATTGGTCTGATAAGACGCAAAATAATATACGATTTCAATTAACACACATACGCACGGTAAGGAACAGTAGACTGCAATGTTTTTAGCATAAAGCCTTGAAATTTGAATAAAACACACGTACATGCCTAATGATATTGTAGTTATACACATGTTATGTTATGTTATGAAGTAGAATGTATATCTATTACTTAACGTTCTGAAATCAATACTGAAATACAAGTAAAGGTCGATTTCGTTTCTAATAAACGACTTAATCATGGTTTCCTTTTTGATAATATAGCTGGTGGAAAATTTTTGTTAAAAATGTGAATGTTTGCATTTTACTTAATATTTCCGAAACAGTCGAAGATAGATATTGGAGAGTGTATTCAAAAAATGTCTAAAATGATCTAAGGAATCCAAAAATTAATTAATATACAGGGTGTTCTATTTAAAATAAGCAAGTTGGTATTGGCAACCGTTATCTGATACACCCCGTTTTTATGGAAAAAATGCGCAACTATAAATACTAATCGACGTGTTCGACCGTTTTTTCGAATACTCCCTTATTTATTTATTATCTAATTCATTCCATTTGGCTGACACACAGTGTATATGCATTTTAAATTGGCTAAAATGCATGAATTTAAGTTCGAATTGTTAGAGTATCCACTGTATTCACGAGATTTCGCCCCTAGCGACTTCTATCTGTTTCAATACTTAAAAAAATATATGCGTGGAAAGAGATTTTCATTAAATGATGAGTTCATAACAGATGTGGAAGCGTATTTTGCAGCCCTCCCGGATTCTCACTTCATGGATGCAATTCATAAACTGGAATCTCATTGGAACAAGTGTATTGATGTTCAGGGAGACTACTAAATAATAAAATGTATTTCAAACCATAAAATTGTGTTTTTCTTATCGAAACGCAAAACGTATTGTACAGCCTATTATAGGTATATTGTGAAATCATTGAAATCCATGAATATTGATTGGCATAGTAAGGTCGCTGTCTAGACTATCTAAGAAAAATATTAGTTTTAAATCGATAAAAATCATCTGCGCTTCAATTTATCACGTTTTTAAAG